TACGATCTTGCACGATAATCTACGCTCCCTGATGTTGCAGTGAAAACTTTAGAAACTATTTTTCTTAAGCCCTGATTAATGTTTGTGTTTTATTGCATGGCAACAGAAGTCATTTATCACAGGCAAGCCGACAAACGTGTAACTCTTTTTATAACAGACTTGACCAAACATGTGTTTACACGGGAGGGCTTCTTGGAAGGGTTGTACTTTATTGTATCACTGTGTCATTTCAGTTCAAGTTCTTGGTAGTTTTGTGTGTACAATGTTCATCTGTGTGTACAATGTTTGTGAGATGTGTTTTGTTCACTTTGCTGAGGACACTTATGCAAGGTTTTAATCTTGGACTGCTTTCATTTGTATAACTTAAAGATTTTTTAAAGATTTTTTTCTCATCCTTTGACTTACTCCAGGGTCTTAGAGCAATAAAACTGAATACCGATTGTGAGGGAATAACTGTAAATTTGGTTGGAGACTACGTTAGTTTTAACTGAGGTAAAATTGTGAGGGAATAACTGGAAATTTGGTTAGAGACTATTTTAGTTGTAAGTGGGATAAAACTGTGAGGGAACAACTGGAAATTTGGTTAGAGACTATGATAGCTGTTACATAAGTGAAAATTGTGAGGGAATAACTGAAAAATTTTTTTGAGACTATATTAGTTGTTTACAAAGAACAATCGATTTGCAAGGAAGTTTGTAATAAGTTCTTTGACAAAAATGAACCAAAATATGGAGCGCATGTTTTTGGTGGCAATAACCTTGATTGAAATATCATCTAGTTGATCAAATTTGTTCTCATGTTTTATTCTACAAGGCTTTAAGCTTTGGTAAGATTATTCCTATGGTTTTATAGCAAAGGATGAGTGCTGGAAAATAGTGCAATTTCATGTCTATCTGAAAATGATTTTTTTTACAAATGTTGTTTTATTGCTGTCCATTTTGCCAAGCCACAATAATGGTTTAATGGTGCAAATGTATAATGGTATAATTGTAGTTTACTTTTTTTTAAACAATCTATTTATAATATGTGCATTTACTTTTAAAACTGTCGATTGCAGAAAAAAACCAATTTATACGTTTTTTGAAGGAGAAAAGCGTGAATAGCGGTACTTGTATGATTCAGTGTAACAAGCTTCCGTTAATGTAACTAACAACGGAGAGTGCAGATATGAAAACTTGGCAATAAATTGAGTTGATTTTTGCACAAAAAACATCACCATCAAGCAAATCGAACATAGATCTTAACAAGTTTCATTGGTGAAACAAATTCATTTGAGTTGTCTAATGTACCGCATCATTGGAAGGAAAAGAAAACTCAACACAGTGGTCCAAGTTTTTATCTGGCCAGAGACAATTAACCACCCATGGGAAATCTATTTGTATAAAGTTAGACAGATAGGTCATCTGTGGCAGAAATTCAACTTCCCCTATTCCACATTTGATTAATAAGAATCATATTTTACACACTACTGGAATGAAGCAACCCCCTTCTTAGCTCCCCTTGATGTACCTAATTATAGTAATTTGATCCCTTATCTTTCAAATTCAATCATCCTGATTGCCTTTATCAATCAATATCTTTATTACTCCAGATTTCAATAATCTACGAGACATTTGTTGCGGGGGAAGGGTCCCCCGCCCACATCCATTTTGCAGCTGGTGCAAGGACTCCAGTCAAATTTTTTAATTGTTCAAAGAAATAAGAATGAGAACTAAAATTGATCACCAGTCCATCTAGTAGTGTTGGTTCACTTTGAAAATGAATATACAATAAGCCAATAATAGAAACTCATAGACTGCATGTAGAGAGTAGTCGCGAGCTGCTCGTGTGGCTCCCGAGAATTAAATAGTTCAACAAAAATGGTGAATTATCTGCAAGTGAGACGCTGTACAATGTGACTGTTGGAGTGCTGCTGTATTGCTGTTTATAAATATGTGATGGACCGGGCTACTATTGAAATAGCTCACGCTTAGTTTAGATGATTTTATGCCATTTACTATTGTGTTGTACATAATTCTTACATACCACGTTACAGAGTGCATTACTGTGCCTCTACACATTAAATTTCATGTCATCTTTGTCACAACTACATACTTAAACAATAATTCAGTTTATACAACAGACAACTCTTTTAATACTTGTTTTATGATATGTGTATGAATATTAAATAATTAAGTATAACATGCAAAGTGCCACTCACATATTTGTTATAGTAATGTACAATGTAAAACAAACATGAAACAAAAAAATTCCCATTTCAATTGATTGATTGTACTTTGCCTTAATTTTGAGCTGTTGTTTATACTAGTCTGAAGTCGACATCACTCTCATATTCAATGGCTTGTTATTGTTTACAATGATTCTCTAGGTTTAAAATCAGACTTTTATCTACATTTTTTTTATACTCTGATAGATTTGTACAGACAAGAGCTGTAACGAATGTTGCACTACACTTGCGTGCAAGGTTAAGAGAGGGCTCTTCAAATGAGGCCTGCTCCTAAATAATTCAGAACTACCTCTGGTCAGTTGTCTCTGGCAAAATCAGTGGGAGCTGAATTTTGTTCAGCAGTTTTTCGTGTATCCATTTGTAGCACTAGTGCCCATAGAAACGGAACAAATTTTTCAAACTTATTCTATTGAACTTCTATTGTGCTTGCCCTCTCTGGAGCCATGAGACACACAGGATCTGTGTAACATACAATAGGATCCATGTCACATACAATAGGATTCATGTAACGTAGCATTTATGCGTAGATGATTATCAAGAAGGACCACCAAAACCTGTATGTTGATGTTAGCTGATTTTGACCACTATGTAGCAGCATTACGTCTATTAGTAAGTCTGCTAGTGTGGACCACCCCTATCCACGTATTTACATAATATATATACATAATATATATATACATATAAATATATACATGTTTATTTTACACTTAGGTTTTATTTATTGGTGTATTGGTTCTAACCCCTACAGCTGTGTAGGCATCGTGCCACCCTTTACCCCTGGATGTGATCTGTGTATGCTGCTGATCATGAGAGGAGCATTTCTTGCTGATGCTAAGATTTGTTTTGTTCCTCATCATTTAGTTCATTCTACTGTTATGTCAATTTTGACTGCATTAATATAGGTCATGTCAAGTTTTAAACAGAACACATGCTCGGAATATTTCATTTCTTTTTATACTTTAATATTGAGAAGCATCTCACAGCTGTTTGGAGGACTTAATGTCAAGGTAACCCAGAGTCAAAGTTATAGAAACTGTTAGATATAGTGACCACAGAGTCAAAGTTATAGAAACTGTTAGATATAGTGACCATAGAGTCAGTGTTATAGAAACTGTTAGATCTATGTGTAGAAGATGTTACATTTAAAACTTTTAGATGTATGTGTAGAGGATGTTACATTTAAAACTTTTAGATCTATGTGTAGAGGATGTTACATTTAAAACTGTTAGATCTATGGGTACAAGATGTTACATTTAAAACTGGCATAGAAAATGTGTATGGTAGCAAGAATAGTTGCTTCAATAAAAAAAATGTATGTTAGAAAAATGAGGGACCTATTTTTTGTCAGATACAATATTATTTACTGCTCTGCACTGAAAAACATGATATAATAACCAAAGAATCTACCAATGAGACAGCTTTGTCAATAAATTAGAAATAAATATTCTTACTTAACTTTTTAATAAGACTTTTTTTTTTATTTTTTAAAGCAAACTAAGTAACTTAACATATGAAAAAAACCTTGAAGCCCATCAATATACAACAGATGAAGAATTTAGCAAGAAAAAAGTCAGTTGTATGAGTTCCATAGTAGTGCTATCCCAGATGAAGTCAGTGGTATGAGTTCCATAGTAGTGCTATCCTAGATGAAGTCAGTGGTATGAGTTCCATAGTAGTGCTATCCTAGGTGACACATTTATTCCGCTAGTTTTTGTACTCAACGTTTATATTTATCCCATTTATGTCAATTGTTTTGAACAGAGTATGGGTGAATAGCTATAGGAATGTTGCTCTAATGCATTGTGCAATGACAATTTTCAAGTGGTTGAATAGATTCATGAAAACCCACTCTTGACTTTATGACTTATTGTTGAACAGTTATTATAGTGCACCGTCAAAGAAATTGATCTGTTTATTTTTTTGGCTTTGTTGTAGTGATGACAAAACATTTGTGAAAAGACTTTGCTGATTTTCTTTGGTGTTTTCACAATGTCTGCTGCGTGCATGAACTAGTCTGCGGGCCGGCCCCTGTCTTGAGCCCCGCATTAACTGTTTTCAAGGTGGAGCTCGAAGACTCTGTAAAGCTTCATCAGTTCTATGCTGTTTGTGTGTGCATTTCTGTTTGTGCCTATGCGTTTGTGTGTGTGTGCTAGGTGGAATCTCATTGATGTTTGGTCTCCTTCTCTAAATCATTTGTTTCAAAAACTATTTGATTCATCTTTGTTCCAATAAAAATGCCAACCTCTGTTGCATTATTCTCTATAGTCTATACACTGTAGGGTGCTTCCTTTCCACTGCCTCCTATATGTGTGTTGAAACGTCTCTGTGAATATCCAATGGAATATTTCTTTCTTTTTTGATATTTTAATACATTTTGATAACAATATTTACTTCCTACAGCATGCAATAAGATGTGAGCAGACTGAATTACCCAACAATCCCAGAATAGTTCCTAAGTCTAAGACTAAGATAAGGTTACTACACAGGAGAATGCCTGCAATGAGAGAAACCATGATTGTCATTTAATCCTTTTATTTTGTTCTTGCCTCCTCAATTCAACATCCCAATGTCACGCCTCTCATTCTGTTTCATCCCAATGTCAAAGCCTCTGATTCTGTTTCTTCCAATGTCACAGTCTCTTATCCTGTTTCATAACAATGTCACAGCCTCTTATTCAGTTTCACCAATGTCAAACCCTCTGATTCTGTTTCTTCCAATGTCACAGTCTCTTATCCTGTTTCATAACAATGTCACAGCCTCTTATTCAGTTTCACCAATGTCAAAGCCTCTGATTCTGTTTCTTCCAATGTCACAGTCTCTTATCCTGTTTCATAACAATGTCACAGCCTCTTATTCAGTTTCACCAATGTCAAAGCCTCTTATTCTGTTTCAAAACAATGTCACAGCCTCTTATCCTGTTTCATAACAATGTCAAACCCTCTGATTCTGTTTCTTCCAATGTCACAGCCTCTTATTCTGTTTCTTCCAATGTCACAGCCTCTTATTCTGTTTCAAAACAATGTCACCTTTTATTGTGTGTGCCTTATGCTAATAATATTTCTGAGACTATTTTCTCATTAGCCTTTTGGGTCTTATTTGAAAAGCAACTATGGTGTCATCCTACTACATGTATTGTGCAGCCTTTAACCTACTACATGTATTGTGCAGCCTTCATCCTGCTACATGTGTTGTGCAGCCTTTAACCTACTACATGTATTGTGCAGCCTTCATCCTGCTACATGTGTTGTGCAGCCCATGGGTGAGGTACTTCATCCTATTACAGGTATTGAGCATGCTTTATCCTACTACATGTATTGTGCAGCCTTCATCCTAATACATGTATTGTGCAGCCTTCATCCTAATACATGTATTGTGCAGCCTTCATCCTAATACATGTATTGTGCAGCCTTCATACTAATACATTTATTGTGCAGCCTTCATCCTAATACATGTATTGTGCAGCCTTCATCCTAATACATGTATTGTGCAGCCTTCCTCCTGCTCCATGTATTGTGCAGCCTTCCTCCTGCTCCATGTATTGTGCAGCCTTCCTCCTGCTCCATGTATTGTGCAGCCTTCCTCCTGCTCCATGTATTGTGCAGCCTTCCTCCTGCTCCATGTATTGTGCAGCCTATGGGTGAGGTGTTTGAGCTGCTCATGACTATGCTTAGACTGAATCCTACTGTTCCACTAACTAGACAGTTATTTCCCCTTGCCCTCCCACCAACCTAAATCCTATATGACAGTGGTTCTCAACCTTTCTGATGCCGCGACCCTTTAATACAGTTCCTCATGTTGTGGCGACCCCTAATCATAAAATTATTTTTGTTGATTCCTTATAACTGTTGAGTGTTTGTGTTTTCCCATGATCTTAGGCGACCCCCGTGAAAGGGTCGTGTGACCCCCAAAGGGGTCGTGACCCACAGGTTGAGAACCGCTGCTATATGACATCTTCTTCAATGCCATTACCTTCAGGTACCATGTCAATACATCTTGTGCTTACATGCCTGTTAGACTGTGCATGATGTAGTGTGATGATGGAAACAAAATTCACAGTCAGGATATTTCTAAGACCATTTGTTGACATTGATCCATTTAGATTTATCTTTTTGTCATAGCTAATTACTTTAGATAAACTTATGCTATTTTAAAAAAAAATCATATTAAATTAGATACAGGTTATGTAGATTAGTAAAATGAAAATAACTTACTTTTGGCTGGCTTCTCAAGGCATCCACTGGTTGAGTAACACTGGAACATATATGGTGGACAGGGAATCCTGGATTTTTTTTTTAGCTGTAATGTGTGACCTAAGATGTATTCAACTAGTTTTATTGAGACCTTGCTAAATCTTGGATCTTAATGTGTTGTGAAATTTTTAAACATTTCCAGGTATAAACGTGCTTCTAAGTTGTAACTTTATTCTGTGGAATAAAACCAACATGATACACAAGCATTTTTTTATATCACTTACAAAGACAAGATAAATGACTTGCATGTCTATTGTTTATTTGATGTACCCCCTTCCTATGCCATTGATGCTATGCTGTGTGCCTGACAAAGCTGTCTTTCCTCTCGGTTGTTATAATGTTATCTAGGTCACACCTCATTATCCTAATGAAAACTTCAATCAATTATCACATTTTGCTACCAATGACTGGTCTCTGATTGAGTTTATTATCTATTAAATACAAATCAATGCAGCAGCCCCTTTCTCGGTACTTGTAACTTGGTAACATACAGTGGAAATTATCAAGTGTGTTTTTGCAATAAGTGCTTTAGGGTCCTGGTCACTGGTAAATCAATATCAGAGAGAGCTGGTTCTCCAAAATGTCTATTACAAACACTGAAGAAATCAATCAATCTTTTTCAATGGCCATACTTGAATATTTATCTAATCAGAAAAGCATTTTAGTTTTATTTCTGTGATTATGGTAAATATATTTATGAAGTTAAGATAAGCAAAGCGACGAGGAAGAAAAATTGTAAAGTTTAGGAGCGTGTTTCTGTGCATTATGTCATCTGTTTGTGGCACTGTTTATGTTAAGCAAAAATTTAAGTTAATATTTTTTTCCTTATTCATCTGTGCAAATTACAGTGTTGTGATTAACTTTTCATTATGCCACACATTGAACTTAGGGTGCCTTCTTCATGCTACACCTCTGCTTCCTCCCTTCATGGTTCTGTTTATGTGTCTTACTTACAACAGGAAGCTGATAGTACTCTGTTTCCACAGGGTCAAACTATGGAGCTCCAGATAGTACTCTGTTTCCCTAGGGTCAAACAATGAAGCTCCAGATAGTACTCTGTTTCCCTAGGGTCAAACAATGAAGCTCCAGATAGTACTCTGTTTCCCTAGGGTCAAACAATGAAGCTCCAGATAGTACTCTTGTTTCCCTAGGGTCAAACAATGAAGCTCCAGATAGTACTCTGTTTCCCCAGGGTCAAACTATGGAGCTCCAGATAGTACTCTGTTTCCCCAGGGTCAAACTATGGAGCTCCAGATAGTACTCTGTTTCCCCAGGGTCAAACTATGGAGCTCCAGATAGTACTCTGTTTCCCCAGGGTCAAACTATGGAGCTCCAGATAGTACTCTGTTTCCCCAGGGTCAAACTATGGAGCTCCAGATAGTACTCTGTTTCCCCAGGGTCAAACTATGGAGCTCCAGATAGTACTCTGTTTCCCCAGGTTCAAACTATGGAGCTCCAGATAGTACTCTGTTTCCCCAGGGTCAAACTATGGAGCTCCAGATAGTACTCTGTTTCCCCAGGGTCAAACTATGGAGCTCCAGATAGTACTCTGTTTCCCCAGGGTCAAACTATGGAGCTCCAGATAGTACTCTGTTTCCCCAGGTTCAAACTATGGAGCTCCAGATAGTACTCTGTTTCCCCAGGGTCAAACTATGGAGCTCCAGATAGTACTCTGTTTTCCCTAGGGTCAAACAATGAAGCTCCAGATAGTGCTCTGTTTCCCAAGGGTCAAACTTTTTTGAAGCTCCAGATAGTACTCTGTTTCCCCATGGTCAAACTGAAGCTCCACTGGCAATAACTTGCCCCAAATAGCTTTCTCTTTTTCATATTGAAATAAATGGAAATTTTGTTGTGATTACAGGTAAGAACAAAAAAAAATCATGTCTGATAAATCCATAGCTTTAATATTCTGAGTAATCTTTATACAATAATCAGTTCTGGCATGTGGCATGGGGATGAGATCCTGGAAAGTTGGAATTAAAATAAATGTAAGATAAAATTTAAAAAAACAACTAATGAAAACCATGCGAGACAGATTTATTAACAGCATTACTAATTAGCACTGCAAAGCAAGAAATAAATAAAACTTATTTAACAACATTTCTTCTATTTGTAATTCAAGTAATGAGATAAAAGTGTAATGATTATAAAATATTTTAATTCTTTGTATTGTATTTGTGACAACTTCAGCTAATTTCTCAAAGTCAAACTTTCATAAAATGGGGAACTTGTTTTGCTGGCACGACAGCCAGGATTTTGATCTAGTACCCCATGAAAGAGATATCTAGTTCAAATCCCATCCTACATTGAATTGACTGAACTTGGTGAACTGTTGTTTTTTGTTGTAATGAGAATGTCCTTGTTGAATGTAAATATCAATGTTTATACTATATCTTCTGTACCTGCTCTTGTTGTAATAATTTTTTCCTCAATTAGTTCTTGTTAATGATTCATGATGTGAAGGTCTACATATTTGCATTGGCCACACTGTTATATATTAAGATGACATTGGTACTACTAGCTTCTGTATTGAATATGCTCATTCTTTATTTTAATAGCGAACTCATATTGATATTATTGAGTAATGGTGACTGTTGCTTTAAGTCTAAATGTGTAACTGGCTTTTATAGTTTCAAAAAGTAATATTTAAACAAATGTTTGGTCGTTTCTTTTTTCACTGATGAAGGGTGTCAAAATCTGAACAATCTTAATCTGAAAGAATGCCTCAAACAAATAACCATAACATTTTTGTTTTGCGTAATTTAAACTAGAACAAATAACTGTTGAATATTTCTTGGACTTCTGACCTCGTTTAGTCACAGCATGGCGCTATGCATTGCAAAACTATGTACTGAGTTTTTATTTGAGTATATGTTTCACATTGGGACCCTGGGATTGCTATAATGTGCTCTAAATATGTTCATGGAAAGTGATTATTATTACGGTCATTATGTTAGAGTTCCTACTGCACCGTCTAATGTCATGTTGAATAGACTTGGATACTATTACTTCTTTACGGGTGAGTAGAAGCTGGGTGTTTCAAGAATGCATCATAGCATAATGTAGCAGTGAGTAAAATGTTAAAGACAAAAATGTAATAATGAATGTCTCTTTTACCATAGCATTTTGAGAGTCAAGAGCACATCATTACCAATTAAAAATTACACTTGTTATTACTTCAATTCAGAGGACAGAAATTAACATTCTCCCATATGTGACTATAAACTTCTAATTTAATAGACACAATTGATAGTTTGACATCAAAATTGTAAAAAGCCAGTGAACTTTGTTGATCGAATTAGAACCTAGTCACATGTAAACTAAACACAAAGTATGTTTTTAAAATTCAATCAATCATTACATTGTTAAAGAATTATTTTAAAAGTCTCTGTAAATTATTCAAGTGAAAATGCCTCGATGACTCATTGATGTAGTGTTTAAGGTGCTTTCTCATTACCATGTTCTGTAATATCCTTTGAAAAATGTCTTATTTTAACCAAGAAGATGTCTTCCCATTTAAGATGTACAAGAAACTCAACTCCAGCATTACTGTGTTGAATCACATTGAGATTATTATCTACCATATTTAATCAATGTGATTCTTGTATGTACAGGAGGGTGCAACACAATCACATTAAGAATGGGCGTTAACTCTTAATACTCTGAGCTATAACTGTTCTATAATCTGTACCATTTTTTTAGGTGTGTGAATGAACTATAAGGAAAAAAGAAATGTTCTTTGTGGTTATAATTAATATTGCAATTTCATATTTAAGGATGTAAAAATTAGGATTATTCTTGTTATAGTTGTATGAACCATTTATGATAAATCTGATTGATGCATGTAGAGATTTTGTTGAACTTCATTTGCTGAAACAAATCATTTTTCCTCATTATTAATGTTCGTATTGCCAAACCTTAACAAACAGCTTTGTAACCAAATCAAGAAACCAATAATGGGCTTTGTTTTTTTTGTTTTTTTTGTAACACACACATATATACTATTTACTGAAATGTTTTTGTTACAAGTCTCTTCTATTATGCTCGGACTATTGTTCATTTTAGAATGGATCTTATACAGTCATGAACATTTTGCACTGCTAACTTTGTGTATGTATGTATCTTAGCCGAGTCATGCCTCAGTGAAAGCACATCAACTTTCTAAAGCAACATTTATAAATGGCTGTCTCTTTTTTTGTGTATATATGCAGCATAGTCACAAGATGAATTGTATTGAATGGCTGTCAACAAGCTGCTGAATCAAAAAGCTCTTCATTTTGGAATTGACTAATGATGATGATGATAATAAATTAAAGAATCTAACATTGAGTCCATTCGAATACTTTGTCTTATTTTAATAATGTCTTTGTTCATTACTGTTGAAATAATTTAACCAATATCTGGTTTCAATTTAGTGAGACCATAAACTGATTTATAGAGAAAAGAACAAAATAAACAATTTTATAATAATAAATATTTTATATATATATATATATATATATGCGTACAGTGTACTAAAATTTTAAATACCAGTATCAGAAATTCAGTTTAGAAAAACAGAACTGTTGAGTCTGTTGCTTTGAGAGTGTTCTCTGATGATCTGTTTTAAATAAGTAAAAGATAAGCCAATGGGCCAAGGGACTACTTTCATTCTTTTAGAAATATTTAGTTGACGATGATTGAAAACTTTTATAGCGCTTGTGTCCATGCTATTTTAAATGTTTCTTAAATGACTCTATCATTTTCAATTTCCCTCAAAGATTGAGGCAAATCGCTCCATAATTTAGGCGCAATGGCTTCAAAAGAGCGTACTCCATATAACTTCTTTCTGTGTCCATGCCACACTGGGAACCCTCAGTAAGGACTGTATTGAAGAGCACAGGTTGTGTAAGGATAGGGGCCTACATATTTAGACATCAGTTTTTGAAGATATTCAGGTGCAGAGCCTTCCATACTGCTGTACACCAGCATGGCCGGCGCTAGGGGATGGCGAAGTTCCTAATCTAGTCATCACAATATTCGGAAACTAAGCGAGTGAACAAATATCCGTTATGACGCGTCCCATTATGACCAGCCAGGCCCCAGTACGACCATAACGTGTCTTAATATCCAGCCAGGCCCCAGTACGACCATAACGTGTCTTAATATCCAGCCAGGCCCCAGTACGACCATAACGTGTCTTAATATCCAGCCAGGCCCCAGTACGACCATAACGTGTCTTAATCTCCTATCGGCGGAATATATAACGTCAACGGCCCCGCAAAATTCAATTAGCCCAAGGCCCTGCAGCCTCCTAGCGCCGGTCCTGACACCAGGGTCAGAATGTGTGGTCAATACCAGGGCCGGCCTGACAGTTGCTGGCGCCCTGTGCAAGTATTACTTTGGCACCCCTAGAGTTGCCAGGTCTGATTCCAAAAAAAATAGCGGACAAGCGGGGTGGGGGGGTGTGTTAAGTAATGAAGTAGTAGTTCAGTTTCATTCTAACTTATGAAAACATTTACACAACGCGATTCTCATATCCTTATTCTCTTAGACTTGACAGCTTTAGATGACGTATCATTTCATCATAACTTGACAGCTTTAGATGACGTATCATTTCATCATAACTTGACAGCTTTAGATGACGTATCATTTCATCATAACTTTACAGCTTTAGATGACGTATCATTTCATCATAACTTTACAGCTTTAGATGACGTATCATTTCATCATAACTTTACAGCTTTAGATGACGTATCATTTCATCATAAAGCTTTTGAATAAAAAAAAAAGTCCACCATTTTGTGAAAAAAAAATAATGAACATAGTTTGAAAAAAGAGGACTGTCCTCTCAAAAAGTGGACACCTGGCAACTTTAGGCGCCCCTCAGAAGTAGAATCATTAAAGTAAAAAACGAGTCATTCGGTAATGAGTTTATTATCTTTGTTGAACTGTTCATTGAACATAGGTAATGAACTCATTAACGAATGACTCGCTTTTTCCTGTAAGGATTATACTTATAAGGGGCGCCAAAGTTAAGCCTTAGGTAAACTTTCGCCCTGTGCGAAGCGCCCGTTCGGCGCTCCCTTCCCTGTATGGCTCTGCTCTTTTTCCGATTACAACGTACTTTTTCTGCTTTGCGTTTGCGATTTTGCGACCCGGAAAGCTTTTTGTTCCCCGTATTCTTTCAGCTGAAATTAATTGTAAGAGGGACAAGGAAATTACGGTATTAATAAATTAATTTCCACGCCCTTTAGGTTGGTCCCAAACCCAGTATTAGTATCCAAATTAAGAATGCAACTTTCATTGTATGAAAACTCATTGCATGAAAAGCGATTGTACGAAAAGATAGAATACCGTTTGTCGACGCCGGACTCGAGGTTCACAGTTCACTATAATAAAATAATGGAATTCAAAAATTTACTGGGCGCCTCAGGCGCTCTGTGTAAGGGAACAGGTCGCACACCCAAAAGGCCGGCCCTGTCAATACGCTCACTAACAGGAAGCCGGTGGAGATCTTTAAGATTGCATTATACGATAAACAATGCGTGCTGCAGTATTTTGTACCTTCTGGAATCTCTGAATTGGGTTTTGAGTTTGAGGTAAACCCCACAAATAACTGGTAGGCCTACAGTAATCTGATCATGATTGGTTTAGAGTGACTGCTCGTCTGCTACGGCATTGGCTGTACTCTTATTAAGTTGATGACGCAGTTAACCCAGGGCGCGTAGATGACAGATATTGAATAAACGATTTAAAAAAAAATATGTATGTGTATAAAGCCAGTATTGAATTAAACAATTTGAAACCAAACATTCAAATATTATTTATATCACTCAACCAACAACCACAGCCGTTCTTAGGAGTTTGGGGGTCCTAAGCATGGAGCGTGGGTTGGAGGCCCCGGAAGGGGGGGGGGGGTCCGGGGGCGGAGCTCCCTCGAGCTGAGGAGAAAACACCACCCACCACTGCGGCACCTCCATTCTGCCTTCATCAATGTTTCCTCTTTCTATTAAACAATTTTAAACCAAACATTCAAATATTATTTATATCACCCAACCAACAACCCCCGCCGTTCTTAGGGGTTTGGGGGTCCTAAGCAGGGGGCGTGGGTTGGAGGCCCCGGAAGGGGGGGGGGGGTCCGGGGGCGGAGCTCCCTCGAGCTGAGGAGAAAACACCACCCACCACTGCGGCACCTCCATTCTGCCTTCATCAATGTTTCCTCTTTCCCACTCCCACGGCCAACCCCCCGATTTCCTGTCTGCCACCCCAAAAGCTCCCCCTGCTGCTTCCCTTCCCCTGCCTCCGAATTCAACTTAGAATAATAAATTTCAGGATGAGGAAGGTAACGTGAGTGACACAGACGGCTGCAGTGCTAGTAAAAATAAAAAAAAAAAACCGTGGGATCGAGGGCGCCTCACGGGGACCCCCTCACGTTCGGGACCCTACTCGGATGCGTAGTCACAGTATGCCTAAGAACGGGCCTGCAACTACCCGCCTTGTCCTACCCCTAATCCTATTACATCATCCTATTTTTTCGTGATTATGCGGCCATACTTATGAGTAATGTATTCAAATCAATGTATAATAGTATACAGAAAACAAAAATAATTTGGAAAGACAACAAAGTTAGGAAAAACATTTATTTATTCTTTATAATTATTTAATAATTAATTGCCGAAGGTCATTTTAAGTTATTTATTTTGGTGGAAGAGCGTAATTCTGACTCTGAAGGCAGATTTCAAATTTTTCAATAAATTGCAACGAAACCCACCCACTGCAAAACACATTGATTATGAAAGAATTTCGGATCTGTACCGTGGAATTATCATGGTGTAAATTTTGACCTTCTACTATTTTTACTATCGACACTTAACGTGCACCTAGCACTGCCACATTGAATGTTTACCATTTATAGTCATTAGTTTATTAAAAAACAAAACAGATTCACATTTTTTTTTTAAAATACAAGGGAAACTACTAAGGAATAAAAATGGCGGTTGCATTAGTTAGAGGTCGAGCCTCTGCAAAGTGTTTTTCACCGCATCTGTGGAAGTCTGTTCGTCATGCATCAAAAACTGCATATTATGTTTTGTAAGTATTGATGGCTATCTTAAACTTTAACTTTAAAAATAATCCTCGTATCACGTGCTTAAGGAACTAAATCAACCGAGTACCACCGGGATGCATTTGTAATTTTTTTATTTGTCAAATGATTTGATGTCTGAGGCCGAGGAAATGAGGTCTTTCCAAAACACAAGTCACAAGTCAACTGTCAACAACACTAGAATTACAATGAGTGAATGACTATAAATAGAAATAGACAGTAGTCGTAGTAACATTAGAACTTAGTACAATAATAATTATTACTGAGACTATTATTTCTTAAAAGTTAAGACATAGTAATATCATAGTATGGACATTTTAACATTTATTTATAAATTAATATTTATTATTTATCACTGACTAAATTGGCTGGCTCAGCTCAGACTAGAAATCATCATACTATACTATACATAGTAAATAAAATCGAAGTGGCTGCTTGCACCACTGCGTTTTACCTAGCAAAACCATGGTCCTAAGCCTGCGTACACTGTGGCGGTGTACCTAGCAAAATCATGACCATGGTGCCATGGACCTAGGACACCATGGCAAAAATGTACCATTGGCCTTAGCCTTAATTTAAGATATGCCTGTTACTGTTAGATAAGATCTTGTGTGGTCTTTTGGTAGAGTAGACGCTAGGTGATATCGTATTTTATGATCAATTCCCAAAAGGGGATAGAATTTAACATTTTCCGTGCCCATGGAACAACTGACAGCGGCAAATCCAAGAGAGTGGGATTGGCAATATTTGTTATCAAAAACTAATAACTACTGTAGCATCAACAACAATACAGTGCAACATGTGGTCTGTATGCCCGCCATGGAACTACTCTGCATCACTTTAAAGCCATTTTACCTATCTAGGGAGTTCACCCAAATCGGTATCATCCTCACTTACATTCAACCTAATGCTAACAAGCTTCAGGCTATTGATAGACTTTTGGATGTAATCCATGAAAACTAAGACTCAGAAAGTCTGGCATTCATCGTGCTCCCCTTGAAGTCACAAATATTAATTGAGATATAATAATTCCCTGAAATGGCTAGGAGAATTCACTGAATGGCTGTTTTTTTGTACTAGTGAATTAATATTATGTGGATGTCTCGTGATCAAATTGTTTTATTTATGTGCTGAAAATGTACAATGTAATCAAAAAGCATTTCCATTTGTTTGGATCAATAAAAGAATCTTATCTTATAAAAGTATTTAAATATTTTAAAATTCATTTCTGTTTTAATTTCATGGGAATTCTTTTTTTTTGGATCAAAATTTAGGGGTAAATTTTGCTCTTGAGTTAAAGGGAACTAAATTTAGGGGTTAATTTACACATAAGTTAGGGATACTGACTAGCATTGAGGTTAGGTCGAGTTGTAGATTTTATGTTTTAAGTTTTTTCTCAAAAAATGTTTTCCTTTCATTTTTATGTTTCTTTTGAAAATTTTTAGTGTTTTTTTTTTCTTTACAATTTGATACGTTTAACTTTTATTATTCTTTAATGTTTAATTATTCTTTAATGTTCTCATTTATTTGCAACGGAAACTTCAAAAAATATCTTTTTATATGTTTCTCTTTTTAAAAAATTACCCATTCTTGTCATTTTCCTTATTTCCATTTGTATCGGCAAGTAGCTAAAACACACACTCCCTATCCCCACCCCCAGTGTTTTTGCTCTACTTTCACACATCTGGTGTCGTGGCAACAAAGATGGTGGCCGAAAAAAAGTATGCTAAACATGAGAAAAAAGGGACCCCGATTGCGTTCATTTACCCAAAGTTCAAACTTTGGGTTTTTGTGAGATTTTTACATTTACATTGTACAAAGGCAAAGGCTAAAAAACAAAAGTCCTCCATTTACAAATGCTTTGTATCTTTGCTTAGCTATGATGAAGTTTTTACTCTATTCTTGGAAGGATCATGTAAGAATCATGTAAAATATTAGGTACTTATTAATGGATCAAGAAACACAGGAGACCTGTTATCAGAACTGAGGACTGCTCTGTTCACTACATTTATTATTCTTTAAAGACATCCACACCCTATCTCCATTTTCAAAAACATTTTTTAGAAACGTGATAATTGATAAGCATCATAACCATGCATTTAACTTAAGCCTATGCCTTCAAATAAGGTCTACTGCTTATTTAATTGATGGTGCACAATGTTAATTAGTTTTATTATTATTATCTCAGATTACCAGAGGTTCCGCCTGATACAGCTGAAACTAATGCTGTTATGAGAATAGACCAACTTCCACAGTTCTCAGAAATAACAGCACAAAAGTGTGTGGCAGCTTGTGCCAAATTTGCCATTGAATATGAAACAAAGTTGGAAAATCATGCTGAAAACCTAAAAAGTGTGAAGCATTTTTAAAAATTCAGCCATTTAAATAATAAATTAACATAATAACGTTTTTGCTTTTTTAATTTTGTGCCATGGATTATGATTACTCGTGATAAAGGCCTCTTTCTCTCAAATGTAATATTAGTTTTTATAATTAAAAAAGGATAATGTTAAAAGCATTGTTTCCCTTTAATAAAAAATATTTTTTTTACTTTGCTATCATCACATTAACCAATCTTTGATTATTTTTTTATCTAGACCTTAAAAAGGGTAAAACCTTTGAAGATGTTTACAATCCGCTTGAAGAAATAGCAGTTCCTCTCAACACTGCATGGGCTACTGTAAAGAATCTGAACTATGTCTCCGCATCTGAAGATTACAATAAGGCATTTTCAAGGGTAAATAGTCCACTTCTATAGAATGGTTTTTATTCTACCTTTAACTCACTCCTAGCTTACACACTATTTGGCTCCCTCCTTATTTCCCACACCCACCTTTTGCAGTTAATGTTTTTTCAGGGCACAAAGCAACCTTAAACCCATACAACATGACATAAAATTTACTGCTAAACTTTACTGATATTTTTACAAAGCATATTGATCTTCAATGAGAAAAAAATCCTGATGTTTTAATCTTCTTGGGAAACAAGATTTAAAAAGCATAGCTTTCCAAATCCTTAAGAAGAAGATTTTAAGCAAGCTTATTTTCTTAGTTTTAACCCTTCATTTAATATGTGTCAAAACATCCATTTGAGAACATAGAAAAAGTTATTTTTAAAATAGATTATGAAAAAGAATACATTTCCCAGAACAAATCTAATAATATTTCTGCCAGTTTTTCCAGATGATTTTTATTATGCTGATTATCATGTTTGTATATTTTCTTAAATATCAGGTTCATCCACAAATTGAAAGGGCTAAAAATGAAAGATGGGTTAATGAGACATTGTACTATGCATTTAAAGTAAGTAAAGTGTATTACTTATTTGTGTATGTGTGTAGAGCGCACATTTTCCAAACGGGGGGGGGGGGGGGGGGGGGGGGGGGGGGGGGATTCAATGTGTCGTCAGATAACAATTTTTTTGGGGATAACCAAACCGAGCAGCAGAAGATTTTCATTAAAGAAGTTAGTGCAAAGAAAACAAAAAATTTTGTACAGTGTATTAACCATAACAAACTGTGCATTTATCAGCCGATTGATGTCAAAAACCTGTGAGGGCTTGTCGTTTCTTTTCTAGGAAAATATGTACTTTCGAAAATAGATGAATGGTGCTTAGAATAATATGCCAGCTCACTATGTCATTGCATGTTCAGTAATTCCCTAGATTTTACCAGGATTGTGTGACAAGGGTGTGGATTGTTTTCTTGTGATTGTATGATAATAATAAAAATAAAAGATGGGCTGTTTGGATAATCAAGGATTTGGATAATGGGGTTTCAAAAAATCGACTCTCTACAGTACAATATATATATATATATATATTGAAAAATTAGGGTAATAATTTTCTTTTATTACACTTTTTTGAGGTTGAAATCAACCGTTACTATTTCAATTATGATAGTTCTGAATCATAAGCAATAGGAAAACCTTCATACATTTCAAAATGTCACTGGAAAATGTTAAGTTAAAAAAGCAAATGTCTATGGTGATCTTATGTTATAAGAATAAAGTCATTGTATTTGAATTTATTCACTAAATGTGCATAAATCGTTTTCATTTGAGAGGCTGTCCTGTATCCCACTCAGCATTACTAAGTGGAAAAATTAGAGTCACTTGAATAACCTTATATTATTTATATATAGGCCTATACTTGTTTTGTGACCTATGTAATTTAGTCAGATGGTGCAAGGACTCATTTATTTATATTTGAGATTGTCTTCTATAAAACAATCATAAGAAACAAACAATATCTTCAAACTCATCACTTCTCCCAAAGCTGTAGGGATAAGATCTTTTTCAAATAAATATGCTGATTTAATGCTTAATATTTTTCAAAGTACACAGATGCATACTATATATTATAATTCAAGCTGATACATTTAGTCCTTATGGGACTTGTCAACTGGTCACATGGGGTTAAATATTTTACAGCCACATTCTGCTATATGATTATATAGAGCAAATATCATTTGTAATGTATAATGGCTTATTGTAATGTAAAATGTATCACCGGTATTAGATTATTTAATAACTTAAGTTGAGAAATTGTGTATTGGATAGACATAATAACTCAGATGTTATTTATGCACATTTAAAATTCACACAAAAATAATAAAAAATATCTCCACTCTGACTCTGACTTTTCACACTTTCATAAATAAGCTGGAAATGTCGTTGATCCATAAATTTTGACAAGAAAGTAAATGCATAAAAACCTGTTATTGTATTTAGTTGGTGAATTTTTAAATTTGATGGAAAATATATCTAAAAATTGTTTAAACTAAAGGTTATATCATTATTGTACCACAGGAATTAGATGCCAACAGCAGTAATCTCAATGAATATCAAAGGAGGCTTGTTGATCTTTATTTACTAGAAGGAAAGTTAAATGGAATGGAATTGCCTGCAGCGGATAGAGCGCGGCTTGTTGACACTGTTAAGCTGATAACTCAAGAAGCAAGTAACTTTAGGTAATGTATTTAACTATCAATTTTTTTCTTTAAAATACCTGATACCAACAGATGTGGTGGAAGCCCAAAAAGCTGAAAATTAATGTCAGAACACGTATGGTAATAACGGGTTTTAAAAAAAAAGAAAAGAGTTTGCAATAACTATTTTCTTATTCTGTGCATCCACTGTAATTTCAGGAACAAAGTTCGTATTTGTACAGAGATGTTTTCACATGATGTAACAAACTTTAGATGCCTTGAAGAAATGCCATGGCCTTTACTTGCACAGATGTCTAGGGATAAGTAAGGATTTATGTCAAGTATAAGTGATAAATTTGATCTTTATATGTGTTGCTATTTGTAATAACTAAGAAGGTGCCATCTTAATTTCATTGTGAAAATCAGTTAAATATAATTTAAAGTCTAATTTTTTTCTTCTTTAAAATGTATAAAGTTTCGTTTTATAAATTATTTATGGGTAAAATTAAGATAGCTTTAAATTTTCATTATTTGCCCTCAACTTTTACAGCATATGCTTTTGAAATGGAATCACCAGACATTTTTTTTTTGTAGAGATAATCCTACTAGGGGTCCTTGGAGAGCAACACTGCAGCCTGCCAATTATCAGTCTATGATGAGCTACTGCAGCGATCGATTAACACGTTGGAACTTGTGGCATGCATACCACAATCGTGCTTCATTCATGCATGCTTCAAAGTTTCTCAATAACAACAAGCTTATAGAACAATTGAGATCTCATCGGTACGTTTACTTTCTGTATTTAATGTAGCTAGGTAAAGTCATTTGAAATCTATAACACCTGCTTTGTAATAATTTATTCTTGAAAAGAATTATGTTGCTTTAAAAATCACAAAAAGGCATTGACATTAATATCAATAAAGACATTAGTGTTGAACAGAAATTAAACTGTTATACTTTTAATGAGATAAAGTGGATAAAAAAGTAAGATATTAACTTCCAACATTTCGGTAATGTTCCTAAATATGACATGTTTTCCCAGATGTTTTTGAGCTGTTTAAAAATGATAATTCACAAGCTTTTCACTCAGTTAATACAGGACAGTTAAAGCTATAATTTGTGCATTCCAGTAGTTTCTCAGATTAAAAAAAAATAATAACTAAAAATTACATTTTCGGTTGTTAGTTTTAACCTGCTTTCTACATCCAGCAGTGAATGAATCAAGAAATATGATTGGTTGGGGACCAGATATTACTTTTGTTCTGAGAGGGGAAGGTGGTGGTGTTGATTTAGGAGAATGGGGGGGGGGGGTGTTCTAAATATTTAAGTCTATCAAATTAAAACCGCCACATTTTTATGATGATGGGGGTGATGGTCATATTGTTGCTTTGTGTAATTTCATAATTAACTCTCCAGATACAGTAATTTTTGTGCATGTTGATCTGAATTCAAGTTTGAACCATGTTAATGAGGGGAAGGTGGTGGTGTTGATTTAGGGGAATGGGGGGGGGGGGTGTTCTAAATATTTAAGTCTATCAAATTAAAACCGCCACATTTTTATGATGATGGTGGTGATGGTCATATTGTTGCTTTGTGTAATTTCATAATTAACTCTCCAGATACAGTAATTTTTGTGCATGCTGATCTGAATTCAAGTTTGAACCATGTTAAATTTCACCAATAACTTTTCTAGTGACAGACTGTGATCTGCACATTCATTCAATATAAACTAATATGTATAGTAAATACACGTTTGCAAAGTGACAGCAGATTGCAAAATAATCGTCTGTCATCTACTTTTTGAAGTAACCTTTTTTGACACCAGATTAATTCAATCCCAATAGACATGCAATGCGAATAGTTATTGTATGTGTAATTTATCCTATATGTTTATTTATGTCATTTATGTTCTTATAGAAAATTTTCTCCTAAAATAGTACAATATTATCTCAAAATAGTACTATTACAGTATCTTAAGATATAGTACTATTTTAGGAGTTGGAGGGTAAACAGTAATCTTATCTTGATTAAATGCCACACATCATTCCATGCAGACTGTATGCTTGAAATCAAATTATGTTTTACCATAATGGAAACAAATTTTTTTGTCAACCTGCTCAGACTGGACTTGGCTCAGATGTTGGGATACAATAATTTTATAGAAATGTCAATGGAAACAAAGATGGCAAATTCAGCTGAAAATGTTCTCAATATGATTGAAACGTAAGCATAAACATATTAACTAAGTATCTAACATGTGTAACTTTTGCAATTATAACCTACAAAATGAACCATACATTAAATTTTGTTTAATCGTTCAAGTCTCGACTCTTGTAGTCCTACTGATTAATAGATCTAAAAATAAACTATTTCTAAGAATATTATTTCTGAATTCTGACGGATTGAATCCAATTTGTTAATATCTTTTTAATTGTCATTCATTGATAACAGAATAAATTAAGAAGTATGTAATTTGTGATACCAGTAAAGTAGTTCTTTTAAAGAAAATGTCACATCTCAACCTGCTCATAAAGAAGTAATAAGTTGCCATAAACATGAATTACTTAGGCTCAAGGGAAGGTTTGCTCCCATTTTATGGGAGGAGACGGCACAGTTACAGAAGTTTGCACAGTCTGAGGGCTTCACACACAAACTTGAGATGTGGGATCTTAGCTACTGGCAAAGGAGACACAAAGAACATCTATATGGGTAAGTGAGGGATTGAAAGTCTAATTTCACAAAGAACACCTATGTGGTTAAGTTAGAGATTAAAAGTCTAATTTAGAACACCTTTAAGGCTAAGTTACGCATTACAGGTGTTTTCAATAAGCCACAATTGTTGGTGGCAGGTGAATATTAAATAAACACAATTTTTATAATAGTTTTTCAGTCTGTACATTTAGTGTCAAGTTTTATAAAACTTCAGTCAAATAAAAATAATTTGAGATAAATGAACATAAGCCACTCCTACCACATGTGCTGATCCTCTCAATGAGCCACATGTGCTGATCCTCTCAATTAGCCACATGTGCTGATCCTCTCAATTAGCCACATGTGCTGATCCTCTCAGTGAGCCACATGTGCTGATCCTCTCAATTAGCCACATGTGCTGATCCTCTTAATTAGCCACATGTGCTGATCCTCTCAATTAGCCATATGTGCTGATCCTCTCAATTAGCCACATGTGCTGATCCTCTTAATTAGCCACATGTGCTGATCCTCTTAATTAGCCATATGTGCTGATCCTCTCAATTATCCACATGTGCTGATCCTCTTAATTAGCCACATGTGCTGATCCTCTTAATTAGCCACATGTGCTGATCCTCTTAATTAGCCATATTTGCTCTACTTCCAGGATGCTTATTGCCTTTTGCTGAATTTAATTTTGTTCATCTTGCCTAACTACCCATCAAAAACTGCTAAAATTAATGCTCGTGAGATTAATGCTTTTTATGAAGGAATCCTAATTTTTTAATCTTTTTTTGTTGTTACCGAATTACAAGATGTAGATGTTTATCATACTTAAGCAAGTTCTTGAGAAGTTTATCATCAAGCTTAGATGAACTGTTGAACAGACTGACATAGTATCAATTGAAATTCATTAAATTTAATACTTAATTAACTGACTTCACACAATCTTTTATTGATTTTTAACTGTATTACCTGAACATTTTAATGGAAATTAATGAAGGTATAATTGTTTGAACTAATTATTATATTCTATTAAAACTCATTTAGGGTTAGGTATTTCTGTTGCATGGCATCGTTGTATTTGGGATGCCAATCTCTTACTGTTTCTCTGCTTCACGGTTTCACAATATTTGTTTAGTTAATCTGTTTTATTTATAAATATCTAAACCTTACGTTTATTATGTTATAATTGTTCAAATTAACCCATTATAACCTATTATGACAGGGAAGAAAAGGACAAAGTCTCTGAATATTTCCCTGTGAACACAGTATTACTGGGACTGTTTGATCTCTGCACAAAGTTATTTGGTATCAATTTTGAGGTTAGTGATGAAAGTTTGCCTTAAATTGACCACAAAGATATTCCCAATAAATATTGCTTTTTATTGAATTGTAAAAGTGTGGTCTCACCACAGAATTAAATTTTATACAAATTTAATATGAAAAATCAAATTGCGGTAATATTTTAAAAAATAATTTATTTGAGATTTTCATTTTAAAAAATCATTCCTTGTCTTAGGAGGTAACCCCTTCAGTCGAGCTGTGGCATTCTGATGTTCGGTTTTTCAACATTATGGATGAAAATGGTATGCACTATATTTTATTTTTATTTTACTTATATAACTAATGGCATGTTAAACACACACAAAATTGATTTTTTTTAAAAAAGGAAGAATTGTCCCTCACAGTGATTTTATTGTCAATTTTACTAGGGAAACACATCAGCTCCTTTTATTTTGATCCATTTTCAAGACCAGAGAAGTCATCTTCAGTCTACATGGATGTGGGAAGGGGTAAGTCAAACTTATTTGATACTGGAAATGCTTCTCTTCAAATTTTTAATGTAATGCTAATGATTACCGTACATCAATATGATTGCAGGAGCAATATGTTCATAAGTTTCACTCACCGTTACAGAGAAAAGTGACCTTTTGAAAACATGGCCCTACTCTTATCTGTCTTTGAAGATCCCACGTCCCCCGACAGCATCGGATCCAGCTTTAATGAGGCTTGAGGACTTACAGTCATTATTTCATGAGGTTGTTGCACAATCTTTAATTAAAAATCATAGCTTTGTCATCGGCTTATTGTTCCTGTTCCTTTGTTGGGGCCAGTTGTTAATATTTATAGTTTGAAATTAGATGTTGTGTGGAATGTTTTGATCACGCTTTTTTAAAATTTCAGTTTGGACATGGACTACAGCAGATGTTAACTAAAGTGCCCTTCAGTGAAATATCTGGTCAGAAAAACATTGAGTGGGATGCCGTACAGGTGTGTGCCAAGTTCATGCGTCAGTGGCTAACGATACCCAGTGTAGTCAAATCACTGAGTGGACACTGGCAGACCAACGAGCCTGTGCCTGATGAAATCTTGCTAAATGCTCTGAAAGGTGGGCCAGTCACCTGTTAAATCTTGTAAAAACAGATTTTATGGCTGTTACATGCTCATTTTTCTAGGGGATTGGATTTTCTGTTTGATTTATATACATCGATTTTTGTTTTTAGCATGTTTACATGTTACAATTTTAGTATGAACTCTCAACTTATATTTATTTTATTTTTTCATTCCAACAGCCAGTCACTACTCTTACAATTTTGACATGATGTATCAACTCTATGTTTCTGCGTTTGACATGGAAATTTATATGACGTAAGTAGAATTATATCTGAGACTTGTGTTTTCAACCTGACTGTGGAAACATGCTAAAAACATCAAGTTTGGCTATTTGAGAGTTTGCTATATTGAAAGAATAGACACACCTTGCTGTTTTGCTCAGTTTTATCATTTCATCTACAATGTAAATAAATTATTCTTTTAGGCTGGCTTTATGGAGTATACCTTTACCAGGAAATAAAATATGACCTTAATTTGGGGAATTGATTGGGGTAGTGTTTAGGGACAATTAAGAAATTAGACTTCTAATAGCTGATAAACCCCTTTGGTTAATCTAGACATAATCTTGCCATTAACAGATAATTATTAGGTAATACCATTCAGAATTGATCTTCTCCTTAGCGTACAGCCGCCATAGGTAATGACTATGATGACCATTTAGATGTGAAACTTGTTAATAAATAGTCTACAAAAATTCAATTGATATATTATTATTTTGACCAAATTTGCCATAAAGCTCTTTAAACCTCATAACATTAAAAATATGATGAATATATAAACCGGTGCATGAGTTAGCCATTGTTGGGGCTAAATGATTTGGTCCTAGTCTTTCCAATGTAAAATTTGTTTTATTTGTCATTAATGATTGTTAGTTAATAATGGCTGGGACTAATATTGAACAATGGATAAAAAAATTAGTATTTCCTTTACATGTGTAAGAAAGTAGAATACACTCTCAGAGATTAGTTTCAATTACACCAATATTTTATGTCCAAACTTAGAATAAACCCAATAGAAAACCATCTCACAGATTAGTTTCAATTACACCAATATTTTATGTCCAAACTTAGAATAAACCCAGTAGAAGACCATCTCAGAGATTAGTTTCAATTACACCAATATTTTATGTCCAAACTTAGAATAAACCCAGTAGAAGACCATCTCAGAGATTAGTTTCAATTACACCAATATTTTATGTCCAAACTTAGAATAAACCGAATAGAAAACCATCTCACAGATTAGTTTCAATTACACCAATATTTTATGTCCAAACTTAAAATAAACCCAGTAGAAGACCATCTCAGAGATTAGTTTCAATTACACCAATATTTTATGTCCAAACTTAGAATAAACCGAATAGAAAACCATCTCACAGATTAGTTTCAATTACACCAATATTTTATGTCCAAACTTAGAAAAACGCAATGGAAGACCATAATGACTCAATTGTGGGAGATGTTTTTGCCAATACCTCTTGATGACAAGGATAGCCTCCCTTGCTCCATGACCCCTATATTTTGCGAGATGTATCCTGCTGCATATTATTCACACAAGTGGTCAGAGGTAAATTCAATTAATTCAGCTAATGATGAGGAGTAGAAGAAAAACTTTGTTCAACCCTGAAATTTAAAAACCAATTTGGATTTGTATGTTTTGAACAGATATTGCTTGATTGAAGTTTTTAATGACTTTTGTTACATACCTTGTTTATACTAGGTTTTAAAACCTTCACCTTGGTCCATCCTAAAAAGTGTGAGAAAACATTACTGACTGTTGCATTGGACCATTTCATTACTTTTGATTATTGTTGTGTTATGAGTATGTGACTATATAGAATGAAATTAACAATTGCTTCTTTTAGAAATTGTGTCTTACTAAAAAACTATTCTTTTAAAATATTGATATCAATCAACTTGTGTTCAAACCACAGATGATTGCAGCAGATCTTTTTGCTGCTTTCAAGGAAGTCGGCTTTCAAAATGAGCAGGAAATTAAAGTTCTTGGAAGAAGGTTAGAATTATAGTGATAATCTTAAACCGTTGCATTTTTTCTTGTTCCCAAAGCATTTGATCAATGTATAAAACTTTGTAACATGTGTAGTGTAGCTTCTGAGCTAAAATAGCCTTTACATTTGACTTGCTAGTTTTGTGAAGCTTATCAGATACATAGAAATTCGTTTTTTTTGTGTTATTATTGAGTCAAAGGTTTAAATTTATTTAATGAGATACAATGAAATAATATTTTAAAAGCTACCAAAGCAGAAGTATGTTACCACTATTCTGTAAATGTTGTGTTACCACCATTGTGTAATGTTGTGTTACCACCATTGTGTAATGTTGTTGTGTTACCACTATTCTGTAAATGTTGTGTTACCACCATTGTGTAATGTTGTTGTGTTACCACCATTCTGTAATGTTGTTGTGTTACCACCATTGTGTAATGTTGTTGTGTTACCACCATTCTGTAATGTTGTTGTGTTACCACCATTCTGTAATGTTGTTGTGTTACCACCATTGTGTAATGTTGTTGTGTTACCACCATTCTGTAATGTTGTTGTGTTACCACCATTCTGTAATGTTGTTGTGTTACCACCATTCTGTAATGTTGTTGTGTTACCACCATTGTGTAATGTTGTTGTGTTACCACCATTCTGTAATGTTGTTGTGTTACCACCATTCTGTAATGTTGTTGTGTTACCACCATTCAGTAATGTTGTTGTGTTACCAATATTCTGTAATGTTGTGTTACCACCATTCTGTAATGTTGTTGTGTTATCACCATTCAGTAATGTTGTTGTGTTACCACCATTCAGTAATGTTGTTGTGTTACCACCATTGTGTAATGTTGTTGTGTTACCACCATTCTGTAAATGTTGTGTTACCACCATTGTGTAATGTTGTTGTGTTACCACCATTGTGTAATGTTGTTGTGTTACCACCATTCTGTAATGTTGTTGTGTTACCACCATTCAGTAATGTTGTTGTGTTACCACCATTCAGTAATGTTGTTACCACCATTCTGTAATGTTGTTGTGTTACCACCATTGTGTAATGTTATTATGTTACCACCATTCTGCAATGTTGTTGTGTTACCACCATTCTGTAATGTTGTTGTGTTACCACCATTCTGTAATGTTGTTGTGTTATCACCATTCTGTAATGTTGTTGTGTTACCACCATTCTGTAATGTTGTTGTGTTACCACCATTCAGTAATGTTGTTGTGTTACCACCATTCTGTAATGTTGTTGTGTTATCACCATTCAGTAATGTTGTTGTGTTACCACCATTGAGTAATGTTGTTGTGTTACCACCATTCTGTAATGTTGTTGTGTTACCACCATTCTGTAATGTTGTTGTGTTACCACCATTCTGTAATGTTGTTGTGTTACCACCATTCTGTAATGTTGTTGTGTTACCACCATTCTGTAATGTTGTTGTGTTACCACCATTCTGTAATGTTGTTGTGTTACCACCATTCTGTAATGTTGTTGTGTTACCACCATTCTGTAATGTTGTTGTGTTACCACCATTCTGTAATGTTGTTGTGTTACCACCATTCTGTAATGTTGTTGTGTTACCACCATTCTGTAATGTTGTTGTGTTACCACCATTCTGTAATGTTGTTGTGTTACCACCATTCTGTAATGTTGTTGTGTTACCACCATTCTGTAATGTTGTTGTGTTACCACCATTCTGTAATGTTGTTGTGTTACCACCATTCTGTAATGTTGTTGTGTTACCACCATTCTGTAATGTTGTTGTGTTACCACCATTCTGTAATGTTGTTGTGTTACCACCATTCTGTAATGTTGTTGTGTTACCACCATTCTGTAATGTTGTTGTGTTACCACCATTCTGTAATGTTGTTGTGTTACCACCATTCTGTAATGTTGTTGTGTTACCACCATTCTGTAATGTTGTTGTGTTACCACCATTCTGTAATGTTGTTGTGTTACCACCATTCTGTAATGTTGTTGTGTTACCACCATTCTGTAATGTTGTTGTGTTACCACCATTCTGTAATGTTGTTGTGTTACCACCATTCTGTAATGTTGTTGTGTTACCACCATTCTGTAATGTTGTTGTGTTACCACCATTCTGTAATGTTGTTGTGTTACCACCATTCTGTAATGTTGTTGTGTTACCACCATTCTGTAATGTTGTTGTGTTACCACCATTCTGTAATGTTGTTGTGTTACCACCATTCTGTAATGTTGTTGTGTTACCACCATTCTGTAATGTTGTTGTGTTACCACCATTCTGTAATGTTGTTGTGTTACCACCATTCTGTAATGTTGTTGTGTTACCACCATTGTGTAATGTTGTTGTGTTACCACCATTCTGTAATGTTGTTGTGTTACCACCATTGTGTAATGTTGTTGTGTTACCACCATTCTGTAATGTTATTGTGTTACCACCATTCTGTAATGTTGTTGTGTTACCACCATTCAGTAATGTTGTTGTGTTACCACCATTCTGTAATGTTGTTGTGTTACCACCATTGTGTAATGTTGTTGTGTTACCACCATTGTGTAATGTTGTTGTGTTACCACCATTGTGTAATGTTGTTGTGTTACCATCATTCTGTAATGTTGTTGTGTTACCACCATTCTGTAATGTTGTTGTGTTACCACCATTCTGTAATGTTGTTGTGTTACCACCATTGTGTAATGTTGTTGTGTTACCACCATTGTGTAATGTTGTTGTGTTACCACCATTGTGTAATGTTGTTGTGTTACCACCATTCTGTAATGTTGTTGTGTTACCACCATTCTGTAATGTTGTTGTGTTACCACCATTCTGTAATGTTGTTGTGTTACCACCATTGTGTAATGTTGTTGTGTTACCACCATTCTGTAATGTTGTTGTGTTACCACCATTGTGTAATGTTGTTGTGTTACCACCATTGTGTAATGTTGTTGTGTTACCACCATTCTGTAATGTTGTTGTGTTACCGCCATTCTGTAATGTTGTTGTGTTACCACCATTGTGTAATGTTGTTGTGTTACCACCATTCTGTAATGTTGTTGTGTTACCACCATTGTGTAATGTTGTTGTGTTACCACCATTCAGTAATGTTGTATTGTTACCACCATTCAGTAATGTTGTTGTGTTACCACCATTCAGTAATGTTGTTGTGTTACCACCATTCTGTAATGTTGTTGTGTTACCACCATTCTGTAATGTTGTTGTGTTACCACCATTGTGTAATGTTGTTGTGTTACCACCATTGTGTAATGTTATTTTGTTACCACCATTCTGTAATGTTGTTTCATCACCAGGTTTAGAGAAACTTACTTATCTTTGGGTGGTGGAGCTCCAGCAAGTGAAGTCTTTCGTATATTTAGAGGTCGGGACCCATCAACGGATGCTTTACAACCTCCAAAGTTTTCTTTATGAGTCAGTGCATTTGAAGTTTAAAAAGGTATTTTAAAAAACAAAAAAAATGCCAATTTAATGGCAAATATTTTTTCAGACAGATTTACTCCACCATGGAAAACAAGGATGAGGGTGGTGTGAAAAGAACCTGTGGACATGGGGTGAAACAAAAGACCCCAGGTTTTACGATTAATTGCTTAGCATCACAATGCATAGTTTTTTTTTTTTTTTAAAGTTTGTTAGAGAAAATGTATGTGGATTAACTAAACTTGAATGGACTATCATAGCTATTGTATTTCAGGTATACCATATATATCACATAGACCTTGAACTATTTGGTGTAAACTTTTGTGATATTAACATCTTCACCACATTTCATTTGTGTACATGCCTTGCTTGATAATTTGTTAATGATCCTTGTAAAAAAAATCAGCCAATATTTTAAAGTCAGAATCCATGCTCTTTGGTTGGTCAGGATTTTTATATTTTCTAACTGATGTGTCGTTGCTTTAAATACCATAGCTAATTTATGGAAGAATAAAGAAAAGTTGAATTAATTAAGAATGCTTCAACTTGCCATCAGGGGATTTTTGTATTGATTTTTCTGAATCGGTTGCATGCTGCAGTGCAGACACCAAAAAATATTTAAAAATGTATTAAATTTGTGCTTTTAGAAAGTCTAGATTTATGGATAACCCAAATTTCAAGGAACTGCATAAATGAACCTTGAATAATTGTGGGAATTTTTTTTTCAATTGGGATGCAGGGGGGACATATTTCTCTTGCAATGTAAGATTTCTGCATTCCTGTAGTCTTAGTTTTAAAAGAGATATACATACCAGGTCATTGAAATTGCGTGACATTTAATATTTAGATTAATGATGTAAATTCTAGCCTCTGTGTGTAACATGTGGAATGGAAGGAATAAAAACTATTAAAACACGTTTCTGTGGAATTTAACAAGAAAATATTGATGCATGGAGCAATGGTTAAATAACAAAACTGTGCATTGTAGTATCATTAGCTTTGAATTTTTTGTCAGAAAACACTCACTTAGATTCTTTTATGACGGCTTTTTTTTGTGGGTGGTAATTGTTTAAAGAAAACATTAATTTAATTAGGTTTGAATCTGTGTATGTTTAGTGAGTGTCATTTGACGTGAACTGTGAAGTGAAATGACTTGTCATCTTGTCATGGATGAAAAGTTACAGTATGCAATTTTGTTGTTTTTGAAATTATCACAAATTTTATTGTATAACTTTATTCATTGTTGAATTAAAATGTTTCATACTATCTCATCTTAGGCTTTGTCATTACATTACTATTACATAATTTAACATGCCTTGTCATCCATGGATTAAGTTCTCTGCTGCTGATGATCTGACAATAATAGGCTACAGTTCTATGCTACAGATGGTCTGACATTGATTTACAACAGTTCTATACTACAGATGGCCTGACATTGATTGACTACAGTTCTTTACTACGGATGGCCTGACATTGATTGGCTACAGTTCTATACTACAGATGAATAAAAGAAATAAGTTGAAGGCGACTGCGTTCAGGTTGAAGCAATAAAAAATATACAAAGGGTAGAAGTTAAGAAATCCTGAAAAAGGACAATGCAAAAAAATCAAACAGACTTTTGGTCAAAAAGCCTTCGACAGCAATGAAACAGAGAGAAACACTCACATAGCATTTTGTTAAGTTACGTAGTTAACAGGAAATAGTAGAAATATTTAAATACGGAAGTGGCCCGTAAAATCAAAGAATTTGCTTATGAGATTAGCCAGAAATGAAAAAGATTTTAAATAAAATAAGAGGGAAATCTAAGATTACTATCAAGCAATGAGGACTGCGTAAGTAAAGTAATCAAGGATGTTGGGTAGTGGGTAAATATCATGGACAGTACATCTTAGAAGGCACGTCTTTTTGCTTTACCTACAAATGTTTGGTCATTTAGCCAAGCCCAAAGAAATAGAAAAAATAATCCAAAATTTTGTTGCTTTTTATTGTTCAGAAAGATCGCGGTCAGTGAAGAAAGATTGCAAAGGACTTTGAACCTTCATGAATAGTGAACTGCATATAATTCTTAACATTAGGAGGTTCCACAAAATCACAAATATATAGGTCAAAAAGAAGAAGGCATAGGAATTTTGTGGTAACTAATATAATGTAAAGTGGTGCAGAGAGAGAGAGATATTTAGCAAGTAAAAGAGAACATGGCATTCATACTGTGTGGTGCAGGGTCTCAGAGGTTGTGTGTATCAGTTTGTTTTCCTAACTCACCCTTGCTTGCGTATTGGTAGAGGAAACAATAGCCATAATTCGATAGTGAGAAGAGACAGGACATTGCTTGTCTTGAACAATGTTACATAGGAGCTCACTGAATCTACCTAAAAAGCTGCATAGCATTTTTGGCATTGTCTTACATACTGCTGTGAGGAAAACATTAGGACTGATACATAGGAACCCATCTTTTTTCTTTTAGAAAAGAACCCTTGGGGTACCGATTCGTCAATTTGTTTAGTCTGAATATTGTATGGGCATGTCTTACATCAGCTACAACAACATGGCTTAGTTCCAAGTAAAGGCAGGTCTTACAGCAGCTACAACAACATGGCTTAGTTCAAAGTAAGGGCAGGTCTTACAACAGCTACAACAAGATGGCTTAGTTCCAAGTAAGGGCAGGTCTTACAACAGCTACAACCACATGGCTTAGTTCCAAAATGGTAACGGTTGATTTGGAGATTGTTATGAAGCAGGAGGTCACGTAAATTCCTATCGGGTCTAAATACAATGAGAAGGGGTGATGAGAAAATGGATGCATCAGTTTTTTTTGTTTCAGTGTCAGCTAGAAGAAGTGAAGAAATTACGATTCTTTATAAAAATATGTGTAGCATTGAGATTATGAGGGTAATACATGACGATAAGTTAGGTTCTGTCCTCATTATCACTAGCATGTGATTTCAATGCCTCTGCACATGTGATTTTTTGCATTCGTTGTCTTGTCAGTCCAATGAAAGAACCCCTCCAGGGTTATGCCTAGCACACACAAAATCAATAATCTCGTGTGGCTTGTCACAAAGTCCTCATAAGATTGACACAGTCGATGCAAACAAAGTACCGGTCGTTGTGGAAAGGGAATAGAGTCCATGCAGAGCTTAGGGTGTGAAGGGAATAGAGTCCATGCTGAGCTTAGGGTGTGAAGGGAATAGAGTCCATGCTGAGCTTAGGGTGTGAAGGGAATAGAGTCCATGCAGAGCTTAGGGTGTGAAGGGAATAGAGTCCATGCAGAGCTTAGGGTGTGAAGGGAATAGAGTCCATGCAGAGCTTAGGGTGTGAAGGGAATAGAGTCCATGCAGAGCTTAGAGTGTGAAGGGAATAGAGTCCATGCAGAGCTTAGGGTGTGAAGGGAATAGAGTCCATGCAGAGCTTAGGATGTGAAGGGAATAGAGTCCATGCAGAGCTTAGGGTGTGAAGGAGAGGATGGGTAGCGGAAACAAGGCTGTCCGTAGGTTTGGAATTGGGTGAGGTGGATAAGGATGAACCATCTGCTTTGAAAGTTACAGTTATATTTATATTCAAGAAATCTGTTGAATTGTCAGATGCAAGGGATGTAGTAAGTTTAATGGCAGGATGGAAAGAGCCCATAAAGCTTATGAAATGGTCAAGCTGACCCCTCTCCATGGTGTTCACGCCAATAATGTCATCAGTATGTTGTTTGTAAAATTGCAGTAAAATAAAGATAACATTTTCACAAAGGGAATTTAATTTCAAATGATGTGAACTTAAAACTAACTTTAAAAAAGTTTTAATAGAACTTACACAATCAATGACGATTTTTGATGGCCAGTGTTATCTACTCATTCTCTACATTAACCAGTCAGACTCACATTCTTTACATCAAGCAGTAATCCTCTCTTTCTCTACATTAACCAGTCAACCTCTCATTCTTTACATTTACCAGTCATCCTCTCATTCTCTACATTAACCTCTCATCCTCTCATTCTCTACATTAATCTCTCATCCTCTCATTCTCTACATTAACCTCTCATCCTTTCGTTCTCTACATTAACCTCTCATGCTCTCATTCTCTACATTAACCTCTCATGCTCTCATTTTCATACTGTACATTACTCTCTCATGCTCTCATTCTCTACATTAACTTCTCATTCTCTCATTCTCTACATTAACCTCTCGTGCTCTCATTCTCTACATTAAACTCTCATCCTCTCATTCTCTACATTAACCTCTCATTCTCTCATTCTCTACATTAACCTCTCATCCTCTCATTCTCTACATTAACCACTCATTCTCTCATTCTCTACATTAACCTCTCATTCTCTCATTCTTTACATTAAAATCTCATGCTCTCATTCTCTACATTAACCTCCCATCCTCTCATTCTCTACATTAATCTCCCATCCTCTCATTCTCTACATTAACCTTTCATTCTCTCATTCTCTACATAAACCTCTCATCCTCTCATTTTCTACATTAACCTCTTATTCTCTCATTCTCTACATTAACCTCTTATTCTCTCATTCTCTACATTAACCTCTCATTACCTTATTCTCTAAATTAACCTCTCATCCTCTCAGTCTCTACATTAACCTCTCATTCTCTACATTTTACTCTTATTCTCTCATTCTCTAATTCTCTACATTAACCTCTTATTCTCTACATTAACCTCTCATCCTCTCATTCTCTAATTAACCTCTCATTCTCTCATTCTCTACATTAACCTCTTATTCTCTCATTCTCTACATTAACCTCTCATTATCTTATTCTCTAAATTAACCTCTCATCCTCTCAGTCTCTACATTAACCTCTCATTCTCTACATTTTTATCTCATTCTCTCATTCTCTAATTCTCTACATTAACCTCTTATTCTCTACATTAACCTCTCATCCTCTCATTCTATACATTAACCTCTAATCCTCTCATTCTCTACATTAACCTCTCATTCTCTCATTCTCTACATAACCTCTTATTCTCTATTTCTCTACATTATACGCTCATCCTCTCATTCTGTACTTTAACCTCTCATTCTCTCATTCTCTACATTAACCTCTCATTCTCTCATTCTCTACATTAACTTCTCATCCTCTCATTCTCTACATTAACCTCTCATCCTCTCATTCTCTAATTAAACTATCATTCTCTACATTAACCTCTCATCCTCTCATTCTCTACATTAACCTCTCCTCTTCTCATTCTCTATCTAACCTCTCATCCTCTCATTCTCTAAATTAACCTCTCATCCTCTCATTCTCTACATTAACTTCTCATCCTCTCATTCTCTACATTAACCTCTCATTCTCTCATTCTCTACATTAACCTCTCATTCTCTTATTCTCTATTCTAACCTCTCATCCTCTCATTCTCTACATTAACCTCTCATTCTCTCATTCTCTGCATTAACCTCTCATCCTCTCATTCTCTACATTAACCTCTCATCCTCTCATTCTCTACATTAATCTCTCATCCTCTCATTCTCTACATTAATCTCTCATCCTCTCATTCTCTACATTAACCTTTCATTCTCTCATTCTCTACATAAAACTCTCATCCTCTCATTCTCTACATTAACCTCTTATTCTCTCATTCTCTACATTAACCTCTCATCCTCTCATTCTCTACATAAACCTCTAGATCTCTCACTCTCTACATTAACCTTTCATCCTCTCATTATCTACATTTACCTCTCATTCTCTACATTAACCTCTCATCCTCTCATTCTCTGTATTAACCTCTCATCCTCTCATTCTCTACATTAACCTCTTATCCTCTCATTCTCTACATGAACCTCTCATCATTTAATTCTCTGAATTAACGTCTCATCCTCTCATTCTCTACATGAACCTCTCATGCTCTCATTCTCTACATTAACCTCTCATCCTCTCATTCTCTACATTAGCCTCTCATCCCCTCATTCTCTACATTAACCTCTTATCCTCTCATTCTCTACATTAACCTCTAATCCTCTCATTCTCTACATTAACCTCTCATCCCCTCATTCTCTACATTAACCTTTCATTTTCTCATTCTCTACATAAACCTCTCATCCTCTCATTCTCTACATTAACCTCTCATCCTCTAATTCTCTAAATTAACCTCGTATTCTCTCATTCTCTACATTAACCTCTCATCCTCTCATTCTCTACATTAACCTCTTATCCTCTCATTCTCTACATTAACCTCTCATCCTCTCATTCTCTACATTAACCTCTCATCCCCTCATTCTCTACATTAACCTTTCATTTTCTCATTCTCTACATAAACC